ACATATGACGATGCCATGAAATGTCAAACGCACTTCATTGAACCAGATCTGATCATAAGTTTCAATATTTCACAAATATCGGAATTGAATAAATAATTCAATGAAAGTCATTCTTTGTGGAGGAAAATCAGTTTTTTATCGACCTTTTTTGGGTGTATGTTACCTTCCACAATCTGGAAAATATAAAAATTATAATGGAGAACTTTATACAAGTGTAGAAGGGCAAACTTTTCAGTTTACCCCGGTAAAAAAACACTCCTTTGACACCTGTCGAAGAAGTAAAGAAAAGAATAATCAAAAAGGAATAACTGTCAATATCCATTTTTGAAGATGGAGGCAAATTTTGGCCTCCGAAACGTTAAGATAAGTATTCTATTATTTCCTAGCAATTTTCTTGATAGGCAAAATTGGTAAATACGACAAGTTACTGATAAATAGAAGATTTTTCTTTGTGAAAAATACTTTGATTTCACGCAGTAACTTATAGGGGTAAACTAAAATGTTTGCCCTTCTACACTTGTATAAAGTTCTCTGGTATAATTTTTATATTTTTCAGATTGTGGAAGGCAACAAATACCCAAAAAAGGTAGATAAAAAACTTAATAAATAAATAAGAAATATATTAAAATTCGTTTAACAAACTAAGAAGTAAAAATATCATGAAAAATTTGCAATAAGAAGATTCAACAAGGAATTCAGATCTGATGCTTATTAGTTTTACAAAATTATTAAACAATTTAATGTGAAAAATAATAGATAAATAGATACATCCTTCACTTATGTAGATAGTAATAAAGAGTGGTCTGAAAATGTAAAGATTAAAATTCAAATAAAACGTGTCTGATTTTGGCATCCATCTCAATATACAATATATATTTTTCTAATGTTTTTCATAAATTAAAATAGAATATTGGCACAGTTACAGAACGGATGTTACCTATAAATCATTTTTTGACACTGTTCAATTGTTTGGAATGGGATCGGACAGATGCTTCAAATAAAAATAAATACGAATAGTTTTTAGCGAGAATATGTCCAACAAAATATCGACCCAGATGATACCAATATAATTTCCAGTCCGGGATCAAAAATAAATTCAAGAAACAGAACAAAAATGTTTTTCACTGAGTGGTTTCTTGTTGCCGTATGAAATAATGATATTGGTATTGAAAATTCAAAAGATAAAATGATGAGTTCATCAGAAGATATAGTATATAAAATATGGAAATGTCACAAATGGCATTGATGTGATAGCAAATATGTTTTAAGTTCACCAACATACAAAAAATACAGTTGAATAATAATAGTTTTACATTATTTTTCATTTCATCGTCTACAAATCGATCACTTCATTTTGGAAGGGAAATTAGGAAAATTAGTACAAAAAATTCAAGCACAATCTGTTTTCGAATTCAATAATTTTCTCAGATAAACTTAGCTCGACCTCTTTTTCTTAGACATTAGTCGTATTTGCTCATGACCAAATATTCCACAATCATGTCTAAAAAATTCAATTGTAATTTTTGTTTCAACAAATCATTGACAAGTCACAGGAGTTTTTTCTCTAACAATATCATGAGAATATCTGAGAATATCATGAATGTTTATAGAAATATCCAGAATGTAAAGGGTGTTTTTTCAAGTTGCATAGATTATGTCACTATCATTGTGGTCACGTTAGATTTTCCCTCATATTGTTACCAGTATTCATATTTTCATTCTCACCGTCATATGTTCAGTACGGTACTATCTTTATGAAAATTATTTGATAGATCTCAAGAAATACATAATTAATTTTGACAAAAATAATCATTTTTTCGAAAGTTCCTTTTGCATTACTTTTGTTATTGAAATCCATTCGAGTGTACTGGAAAAATGGAAAACAGATTTGAAACAAATGCAATGTCACATTCAAATGAAGTTTTTTTCTTAAATTTTCCCTTGGAGTAAACTTTCACCCTGTAGAATAATTTTTATATCGGACTTTCCATCAGCGGTAATAATTTCTTCATTAATAGAGGAAATGTTAATAGACGTGTCGATGATAAATAAGTATTTCGAAAAATACCTGCTATCCCAAACTAACATTCACTCTATCAATTCTTCATTGTTCATCGATTAGGAAATGAAAAAATGTAACTGAAATAATAAGAATTAGAATTAAAACAGTAACTGCAGTATCTGTCTAAAGACATGTTGACCCCAAGCCCCAATCTTCTGACAAAAATCCTGATAAGGTGTGGTTTATTATCAAATTTTCATAGGTGATATATAGACTGAATTTCTATTTGGTCCACATTAGATATTTGGATTATTCAGACCATAATCTAATAATTAGAAAATTAGCATCGGAGTAGGACAACACAGGACCAACTCAGATAGCTCCCTTTGAAGTTTTGGAGAATTTGATGGAACCTCTCACATATTCATTCCAACAGCATCAATATCGTGTTTCTCGTGGTGTTTGCAATCAATTCGTCATCAAAATATTCAGAAATCATTGTTCTAAGATCAGTCCTCGCAAAAAAAATCAGAGTGCTTTTTTGGGAGGGAATAATGATTGAAAACGACTTGCGAACCCCTGAATTAGAAGAAGACCCTCGAAAATTTCGAACTAAAAACCTTTGAAGTTGGTTTTCTGGACACCAATTTTTTTTCGAAGAACTTTATTGTTTTCCACACAGATTTGAACACAAATAAATATAATTTGGATGAATAATTGACATACATACAAACTTGGGAATCAACTGCTCAAGTAGTTCGGGCCAATGATAACCACAGAAAACCTTCATAATCATTACAGTTTCTAAACAGAACGTGAATATCTAACAACGCGTAAAGTTTATATACAGAAGGAGAAAATTTTGATCCAAACATCATTGCAAAATCTTCCAAACGGGCAGACCATCCCTAATTTTTTTTAAAGAAACGGAAGTTGAGTAATACCTGAAAGGGTTTTCAATTTGCCATCCATTGCTGCTATTCTTCTGTAAACATTCACTCGTACGTTTTCCGTTGACGTTGAATCGATTGTAAATAAAAACCTAGTGTAATAATCTAAATGTTGAAGATGATACATTTCTTTATGACCATTTTCATTTTTTGCGTATCATATTTTTGAATGCCTTTCAAATGTATCCGTTATGGAGAACCTCATTTTGAAAATAATAAATGTGGAAATCGAGTCGCCAAATTAACCAACCAACAGCTTCCTCACAGACATTTTTGTGGATGAATTGTTCGACAATTGGTGAAAAAATTTGGCTGACTAGATCGTTTGAAAATAAAGGGAGATGGGATGAAATTTGAGTCTAAATAGGTATTAGGACAAATCGTAGTAACATTGATGTAAGACGGTTTGGAAATAACCTGTGATGTATAGAGTTTGGGGGGACAATATTCACAGCATTTATTTGCTTTTGCACTCTTCGAAAATATAGTATCGGCACGGCGTTTGGATACATTTCCAAAAACGAAGCAGCAATATATAGGAATTCGAAGTCCTTTTTTGTCCGACTCAAAATCTCATTCAAAAAAATACACAAGATGGCGTCCCCACTCATATGGTTGAAGGGTTGAAGCAACAATCAAAAGATTAAACTAAAGATATGGGGGAAAAGTTCATTAATCTTCCTGACACAAAGACAAAAATGTCACCCTCATTTATTGTAGTGGAACATTTGAACTTCCACAGGAAATATACTAGATTGTAGAACATCAGGCTTGTTTTCAATTTTTTTCCCAGTATATGAATGGTAAGGCATGCAAACAACGGCTTGATGCCCGTTAATTTGGGAAAATGCCAAAAGATATTGCAAAATTTTTAAAATCAACAAACCCATGGAAATTCACTGGACATTGTTTACGCAGAAGTTCTGCTACATTGTTATATTGTTAGAGGACTCTGGGGCAGATATAACCACATTGAAAAGGCATGGGGGATGGATATCATCAGAAATAGCCGAAGGTTATATTGAAGGCTCTATAGCTGCAGAAACAAATTTCAGTGAAAGAATTTTCTCGGATCCCAAAAAACAAAATACCGATCCACCAGCAAATCTTTAAGAAAGAAGAACCTGTTAACTGCATATCCTGTAAAGTTCACCTCACAGTGGACACTTTTTGTCAGAATGCCCCGCCTTCGAACAACACAGTCCTGTGGACTATCAAATGACCTTCGAAATAATATACAGAAAAGTAAAATAAGTAATCCTATGGAATTTCTCCGATCAGTGAACGTAATAAACAAAATGTAAAACGCCATTAATTTGAGTATGAATATTCTTACAGTTATATTGTACCACCGCAGTACTATGTACTATGGTGACAAAGAACAAAACAGATTATATTCATGATAATAATAACAATTTTTTTACCTCGGTAGCTACTGTGTTAGCCATCTTCAAAATCATAAAACTTCATTTCTGTGGTTTGTTCCAACTATTACTGTTAGAGTTGAAATTTCAATAAAATTATGAATTTTGTCGTCTTCAATTATATTTTCGACAACAGTAACTTCGTTATAGTACTTTTTAGTTAGTTGGAGAAAAAGTTATTCTCAACGCCAAGGCATTAAAACATTATTTCTAATGCCTGAGCATTCAAAATCAAAGCATTGAAATATTTGATGTCAATCGGAGAAAAGAAATTATTTAAATTTGACACCCCAGGCTTGAAAAAATTATTCTGTTTGATGCAGTAATGCACCCAAAACAAACCATATTTTTTTGATGAAACACTGTATGAATTTTTGTGATATTTTGTATCGATTCGTCAAATTTACAGTGATAATACTGAAAAACTATAAAAAAGCCCAGCTTCACCATTTCCAGAGACAAATCTTTTATCAAAAAAGTTTCAGGCTATATTCTGTAGCCCTATCATAAACTTCCACTACCAACCATTTCTACCCCCAATACTTCTGACAACGCTTCAAAAAACACCCTTACAAAAAACATCAGTTGTTTCACAAGCTCTCAAGTTAAAATAATCCAACTCACCGAAATAGTGTAAGACGAAATCGAGGGCGACTGCCTGTAGGGCCGTCTTGTCGTATAAAAGTCGGATTCGTAAACCATTTTTTCGAAAATTTCGGGCAAAAGGCGACGTGGACTAGGTTAGAACGGCGTCTCGGGATGTTTCAACTGGACTGAAGCTCAATCTAGCAGCCTGGGCTTTAGCACCGCGTACCGGATCTATTTTTAGCCGGATCTAAACCCTCTTTATTTTTAATCGTTCATACACCAGTCAGATATTTTTCTGATAAACACTCTCTGGGCGCGGTTGGTTGGGGTATAGCGAGGCGTTTGTTGCGTGGATTTGTTGTTAATGGTCTTTGTCACAAGCTAATGTTCTGGAAAATCTATCTAGTGAGTCGATTCAACTGACGCTTTGAGGATATTTCAGATGAACTTATCATCAATGAGGTTTTTTGTCGTCATTGCTGACGAAGTTGGTTATTCAGGCGATCGATGCTAACATAAACAATTTGAAAAAATATCATTTACTGTCGAACAGAAATATCACGTTTCTGGGTTTATTGAGAATAGTACCTACACTTTTGGCCGTTTCAAAGAAATTTGCTGAGATGATTCTTTGTCTTTCAGGCTATTTGAATTCAACGAATCTTGCAGTTCGTGTGACAAAAATAGGTGGATCACGCTACCTTATAAAATCCAGGATTTTTGGTTGATTGATCCTAGAGGTTCTAGATTGGTCAGACCATCCTTTCGGGCCCATCAGAAAGTCTTTGAAAAAAATTGAGTCTTAGGGCCCAAACAAATCCATTAGCTATTTGTTGTGGTCAGAAACTTCACAGCAAACAGAACATCTGCCTCACCAGAGCAGCAGCTATAGAAATCCTTCTGTAGATCTACGTCATCTTAACACTTTTCAGGAGAGAGAAGCAAGATGCGTATTGCACAAGTGTAGCAGATTAATCAGATAGTATAGACCACTACTGATCGATACTGGGAGTCAGATTATTCTGGTAATGACCTCCGATTCAATACTCCCAACAGTCAACTATGACTTGCCATATATAATCCTGATCTTGAGTAGGAGCAGGAAGTTATTGGTCCACTGATAGATCAAAAAACCTTCAGTTTCTGGTGCATAAAGTCGCAGATCCATAGTGAGATATCAACCTATCTAGGGACCTGTTTCAGGTGTACACCTACATAATTGATTCATGTGTGAAGAGATGAATCAAACAAAATCTGGCTCTTGAACACTAAACTCTCATCAAGCAATATTCAAATCGGTACTGAACTACCAACAGAACTCTCCTCTACAGGAAGGCTTAACAAATTGCCTTCAGTCTGGATTCCTGGCCATATTGGTCTTCAAGGTAATGAAGTTGCTCTCTCCCTCACAAAAAAATCGCTGTAAACGATTTTATCGGATCATTACCTGTCATTGGTATCGCTTTACGTTTTGCCACATGAGCAGAGACTCAGATTCTGGCAGAATCAGAAACCAAGATTGGCAAATTTTAAGGCACCTTTCGAAAAATGTTAACTCTAAGAAAATCAGCATCACTCTGCATAATTCATTTGATGTAGATGAAACGATTTCGGACAGAACTGATATTAAATTATTGGTAAAATATAAAGTTGCTTCCAAAAATGTGCATGAATGCTACTCTGCGAGTGAGTTGTTTTGCTATGTAGACAAAAAAATCAATCAATCAATGTTTATAGTCAACAGGAAACCACTGAAATTATGGCTTTCGTATCAGGGTATATGTAATCATCAACTGAAAATTGGATCTGCTGAATGATCAAAGTGCTATATTTATAATTTTGTTTTTTCTTATGCTAACCAATGTATCTACTCCTGCCAATGCCTTATTTTTTCACTTTCTTGAAATTTTCATTTTGGCACCTAGACCATCAGCAGTAACTGTCTTCAATTGTTTTTAACTTTCAGGTTCTACACTTTGATTCTTGAATGGATTGCAATTCAGAAGCACCAACAGTATTATCTGCTAGAAATAAACCTCCTTTAATTGAAACAAGATTCCTGAGGCTGGGATCAAATCAAATAAAATAATGAATACGTACTGTTATCAATGACATGAGTAATATTAACTCATTCGTGACATAGAGTCGTGATTTTATGAATGAATTGATTGCTCCATCTTCTAATTTAATTCAGATTGGTGTTGAAAAGAAGGCAGGTGTCTTATTCCGAAACATTAGAAGTCTGCCATTGAGAATAACAGTTTTCCATGTAAGTGAAATGTAACCTATTTCATATACTATATTGTGTAGAAATCCTGTGAGTGATATCTGATTGAATTCCATAACGATGTTTGGAGTAAAAAATTAATCAAATAATTATAAAACTGAAAAACACGCTGTCAAAGAACATCAAACTGAAAAGTTAGAAATATTTTTTTATATGAGCTTAAAGCAATAACGAACGAAAGATACTAATATTATTGTGAAAAAAACGACGGGCGCTTGATAAACAAAAAATAAGTGCCCACCCTTTAAAAGCGTGTTTTTTTTAGTTTTTTAAACTATATTTATTTTGCATTTTTTAGTTTCGTATGCTATAAAAGCGTGTTTTTTAGTCTTTTTAAACTATATTTATTTTATCTGAACTTTGGGATCAATCAGCAGTATATTGTTTGAATAAATGACCATTCATATTTTCCGATTCTGGAGAGGCAGCCTGAAAATCAGATACCAAGCCCGCCCAAAAAACACTTTTTTTCAAATGAAGAAGTACATGTAAAGTGATTCGAATTATATCAAGGAAATTACGTACAGCGCCATCTGCCAGCGAATAGATCAATCAATAATGTCGATAATTCTGTCAAATAAAGATCCCGAGTTGGGAGTTACAAGCAAAAATGTCAAGTACTAAAAGGTCTACCTTGGGACAAAATTTGAAATGTTTATTGAAGTTTCAGGGCATACTACGATATTTTTTCTTACTCGAAAATCGGGATATCTTATTAGCGATTTTTTTATTGAAAAAATCACTTCGCCACTGGATTCAGAGTGCCTCTAAATAGGTGTGACCAAAATTTCATGAAAAAAATATTCATTAGCAACAAAGTTATGACAACTCAAAAATTCAAAAACTCACACAGCTAATAGTCACAATATATCATTTTCTTTATGATTTCAATAATGAAGTGCCGCCAGATGTAAAAAAAAGGCGTAAATATTTTTAATGAAAATAACGGAATTACATTCACACAATTCAACTAACAATGAAGCAAAAAATTTTAGTAAACGTAACTAATAAGTAATTATTGGAATGTTTCAATTCAGTGCAACAATTAATTCTAACTCATATTCTAGTAGCCTCTACTAATCCACCACGTATTTCGATACAGGGATCGTAGCGCTTACGAATGTTTCTGATTACGTTCCTTAGTTCTTGAGGGCTAATATCTGCACATACCTGTCGAATTCTTGCACAAAGTTAATTTCTATCTCTTGAGCGGTTTTTGTAAAATTTTTGTGAGACAAGTCCCCAGAGAAAAAAGTCCAAAACTGTGAGGTCTGGAGATCTGGGTGGCCACTCTATAAACGGACTACCGCGGCCTATCCATCGGTTTGGAAAATGTTCGTTAAGCCATTGCCTCACAGCTCTGGCATAATGAATTTGACACCCATCTAACTGGAAAATTAAATTTGATCGTTCATTGATTGGCAGCTCGTGAATAGCATCCCAAAACTCTGTGTTTAAAAATTCTAGAAACCTCTGCCCATTAAAGTTTTCCTCAAAAAAGAAAGGACCAATAATTCGTTCGTTCAATATCCCACACCAGACGTTAATTTTTTGGGAATACTAGCTTTTACAGTTTATTACCCAGTTAGGATTATCCGCTGCCCAATAGCGACAATTCTGTGATGACACTACTCCATTTGTAGTGAAAATGGCTTCGTCAGTATATAAAATATTTTTTAGGAAATTTCTATTGTTTAAATATTCCCCTTGGGCCCATAAACAATATTACAGGCGTCTTGCTTCGTCGCCTTCTTGAAGTGTGTGTAAAAATTTTGGCTTGAAAGGTTTAATATTCTTCGCCTTGAAACATCTCCGAATAGTTTCTCGTGGAATATTCAAATCTAAAGTGGCATTCCTTATACTGGCATTAGGATTATTTCCGAAATAATCTAAAATGATTTGATCATTCCTGTTTCGTCTTTGTGCAGGATTACTTTTTAACATCATTTTTGATACCGCACCAGTTTCATTGAATATTTTATTTATTTTATTTACCGTACCGCAGCTAATACGAGGACGATCTGGATGTCTCTCATTAAATACTTTACAAACCTCTCTAGCACTTCTAACGTCATCTCCCGAAAGGCGTACAATTTCAATTTTCTCTCTTACGCTCAATCTTGCAGCCATGACACAAAATAATTCGAAGAACTGTAAGGTGAATATTGTTGACAATAGTACAATTAAATCTTTCACAAGTGTCAAACTGTAACATCATTTTCATGGCAATTAAGATTTAAATTGAAATATTAGGTCTTAGTTTTAGTTAATTTGCGTGAAAACTTGAATGTAATTCCGTTATTTTCATTAAAAATATTTACGCTTTTTGTTTTTTTTTCATCTGGCGGCCCTTTATTGTTGAAATCATAAAAAAATATTCTCATGGCTATATCTGTTGATATAGGGTGTTTTTTGTAACTGTTAGCTGTGTGAGTTTTCGAATTTTTGAGTTGTCATAACTTTGTTAATAATGAATATTTTTTCATGAAATTTTGGTCACACCAATAAAAAAAACGCTAATAAAAAATCCCGATTTTCGACTAAGAGAAAATATCGTAGTATGCCCTGAAACTTTAATAAACATTTCAAATTTTGTCCCAAGGTAGACCTTTTAGTACTCGAATTAAAAAAAATATTGAAATCGGTTTATAACTTCAAATTTTAGGGGAGTGTTTCCATTAAAAATGGGTCACACTGTATATATACATACAGGTGAAGCTAATAAAACCGTGTTAATAAAAAAGTGTTTTTTATATAATTCAATGATCATTTAGAAGTAGTTGTTTCGGTGGCTTTTTCTTCTTAAACCTTCAAAAATATCTGAAAATTCAAATATTATTCGAAACCGTGTTTAGATTTTCTCAAAGTATATCAATGGGGAAAAGAGTTCATATAAACCTACTGTCTCAAGATGAAGTGGGTTACATGCAAATTCCCACTCTTTTCGAATTTGTAAATACTCCTTTGCTGAGGGCAAGTTAATCTATATTGGGTGTCTGTCAAACTTCGAATAAATCACACAGATCTTGGTTCGAGTTTTGCGTGGTTAGAATAATTCCATACAAATTGTTTACATCAGCTCGTTGACGTAAGAGGTTTCATCGTTTGTATTCTATTGAATGAAAATTGCGCGTGGTGTTTTGTTTTTCTTCACGAAAATAGAAGACGTGGGACGTACGACGTTTGCAGACCTGAATGTGTTACAATTTTCTCGAACAACATGATGTGTTGTAATTGTTTTTTAGCTGGGATATCGGGAGAAAAAAGTATAAAGAAGTAGAAATATCTGAAATCTTTAGATTTCAGATGGTATTTTTATCTGAAGGTAGAATGAAGCAAATGCAAATAGTACCTACAGACTTCAGAAATAGTCGATTGTTTATTGAAATTATATGTGAATAGTTGAAAATTATGTGTATCGATGAAAAACTCTCCCAAAATTGAAGAACCACTCACTTTTCTTATGGAAAATGGTTTTTCTATGAATATTTTCAGTATTATGTCGTGTGTTTCGACTTGAGCACGCACGTCTAGGAGCCTTCGTGGGAATAAACAAAAATTACAAAAAGGAAGTCATCAAGTCTGGCTCCCTTGGCTTATAATATATTATTCAATCTGAACTAGTTAAAAAAAAATGTCAACCTCTGCTATGAGCGAGTTCATCTCAATTGAGTTGAATCCCGGCTAAAGGTGAAGTACATATTTGGCGATAATCAACTTTTTCCTAAATTTAAAATGCAAAGTTAATTTACTAGTCAAGTTTTTTTGTTATCTACGTTGGGAGATTCTAGTTGGCTCTCGTCTCGTCTTGTATAATCCCTTATTTCTTTCAATTTTATTTAGTTGAGTTCTCTACTCAAGATGTATGCAGATCCAGACCATCAACAGCTTTCTCATGATTTTTTGCGATGCTCTGCAATATTTGAGCAAGAGAAATACGTTACTGTCATTTGTGATGAAACTGTGACAAAAATAACAATAATTATTGGGAGATTCAACAAAAGGGTAGTTTGATGTACTGGCTACAATGATTATATCAATCACAAAATTTACAAAATAACAATGATAGTCATAAAACTTCTTTGAAGTCGAACAGATTTTTGAATTAATGAAGAATTTTCCGAAATTTCAATGAATCATTTGAATTCAAACAAAAATAAATGGTACAATTTGAAGATCTTCTTGATGCTTCTATGAACCAGAAATTACCTGTTCTTCGTCCTGGGCGGATCTCCAGGAGGAAGAGAAATAGAAATAGAAAGTTAACAAAATTCTTCAAGTTTCATAGCTGTGTTTGGAAATATTTTCTTAGAAAGTTTATCACACGCGGTTTACATTATATAGTAGAAAGTTCTGAGATGGAAAAATTACCTGTATGTCTGTTTCATTCAAGAGTCTAGCACTCAAAATGCAATTGAAAATTAGGATGGAAAGCAACATGTTGTCGTTGAACGTCAAACTGAGGTTTTCCAGAACAACTCTGATATTTATATCTCTACTCAAGATGTAGTACGTATGGAATATAAGGTTGATAACGATATAATTTAATATACTCACTCTTTTGGGATTAAATACTTCAATAGGTTCTTGTTTGTTCTTATTGTTATATATCGGTATGTACATAGTGTTAAGGTAAGTGTAGCAGCGAAGTTCATTCCAAAATTTCAAAAATTTGATTAAAAAACCGTCGCATGAGCATCACAATTGGAATGAGTTCCAAAAGAACTGCTCAGCACGTTAATCAGGTTCTTACTAGACTGAGGAAAATAAACCATGGTCTGTCAACCTGGAAGTGGATCATCCTTCACAAGGAAATTCGGGCCCTGGTAGGAGAACACACAGTCCAAGCTGGCTGTAGAGAATTTTCAACATTTGACAAAATCCTACTCTTGCCAACTGACCTCAAAAATCGTTCCACAAATGAGGTAATCGGTCGTGTTGATTTTTGGAAAACGAAAGGGGAACTTAGGATAATGGAACATTGAAAAGCAACCCTGTATTGACGATCTGTTTACATTCCTGCAGGAGGAGTTTGAACTTTAGCTTTGAACACTTGAAGGACTCTTTGGTTTTTCAGTTGATAATATAGTTATTTGTTTCCTTCTCAACAAACAAAAACATGAGAGCAAATAACTGTAAATGTAAACTTTGTGGTGAATCGCCATAAATATATGGTGTGATATCTTCGAAGCTCTCCATATAAATATCAGAGTTGTTCTGGAAAACCTCAGTTTGACGTTCAACAACAACATGTTGCTTTCCATCCTAATTTTCAATTGCATTTTGAGTGCTCTCACCGCTAGACTCTTGAATGAAACAGACATACAGGTAATTTTTCCATCTCAGAATGTAAACCGCGTGTGATAAACTTTCTAAGAAAATATTTCCAGAAACAGCTATGAAACTTGAAGAATTTTGTTAACTTTCTATTTCTCTTCCTCCTGGAGATCCGTGCGGACGAAGAGCAGGTAGTTTCTGGTTCATATAGAAGCATCAAGAAGACCTTCGAATTCTGTTCCATTTATTTTTGTTTGAATTCAAATGATTTATAGATATTTCGGAAAGTTCTTCATTAATTCAAAAATCTGTTCGACTTCAAAGAAGTTTTATGACTATCATTGTTATTTTGTAAATTTTGTGAAGTATTGGTATAATCATTGTAGCCAATACATCAAACCACCCTTTTGTTGAATCTCCCAATAATTATTGTTATTTTTGGCACAGTTTCATCACAAATGACAGTAACATATTTCTCTTGTTCAAATATTTCAGAGCATCGCAAAAAATCATGAGAAAGCTGTTGATGGTCTGGATCTGCATTCAAAGGATTCCGATGAATTCAAGTTCAGTAAATTATTAGACATCCACTTGAGAGGAGGTTATGAAGATCTACATCCAAATCTACGAGACCTAATCGAATCCCAAATTCAACCAGATAAAGGTATTTGTTTTCTCACAGGATTTTGATAAATGTTACAAAAGCTTTGATTGAGTTTTCAGAACATCCTAGTAATGATTCATGTAGATGTGGACTGGAAAAAGGTGTTAGGATCTTTTTATTAACTGTACAGTATCTTCAATTCAGAAACATTGATCATAAAATTTCAAAAACACTCCAATTTTTTCCCGGGGGTCCAATTTCAATACATATGCCACTATTTATATTCCAAAATTTAACAACACTCGGTGTTGTTTGGCGCCATCTGACGTTGCAATTCAGAATTTTGATGTTTTCTACCATAACCTTGCTCAGAACCTTCATTTGAGCCAATATTTGTTGTTGAAAATTGTGTTTCAAAGAAAAAAATGAATTTATTCATGAAAAATAATGAGTTACTTATAATTTACAATCACTTTGTACTCTACAATAATAGCTACTACTTTTTTAGTCCCTTTGGAGCTGTCTGACATGTCCATTTAGTCCAAGTCTCCAGAAAACACTGCAGCCTCTTGGGCTCATTGCGTTTATTCTCCCATCTTCTCATGACACCCATTTCATCAGTCTCGTTCCCTGTACTAGTTTGTACAGGTTCCGTGTTGGACGTTCGTCATATTCTTCTGGACGTAATTTTGTACGTCCATATATTGCCTGCCTCCTGTGATTCAGTGCCTCACATTCTCATAAGATGTCTCCGTTGTACAGCCCCATTTTATTCAAGTGTCCTCTAAGCGTACAATGACCGATTAGTAATCCTGTAATTATTCTGAGCCGATCCTTACTATATTGAAGTTCTTCGGTTCTTTTCTCGGACGGTTCCCTAATGAAGGTTCTACTATTTTTGTTGCCAGGTACTTTTGTTCAGTACTCTGTGTGCTTCCTATAGGTCCATGTTCTAATCTGGTTTCGTAGCAATGATTTTGGTACCCCCAGAGCTGGTTCAGGACCATGATCCGTGTCTAGCGCATTCATCAGATTTATCTTTACCTGTGATTCCTGAATGCCCTGGCACTCAGTACAAAGTTAATTTGTTCCTGTTTGCAAGTTCATTCAATTCTTCATGGCATTCCCATACCAGTTTTGATGTCACCTTCGGGTTTGTCAGAGCCCCTAGTGCGCTCTTGCTATCTGTTAGAATATTGATCCACTCATTTCTTTGAGGTCTCAATTTAATAAGTCTTGCACACTGCAAGATATCATACACTTTCGCCTGAAAGATGGATGTGTATTGTCCTAGCGGATAACTGTAGTTTAAATTTCTATCCGCTTGGTATATTCCAGCTCCTGTTCCATGTTTGGTGTTCTAGCTACTACTTACATACTACTAAAATCAGAGATGTTACATAGTAATTCATTCTATGTGTGATTTACCGGTAAGAACAAATCATGCAGAGGCATATCATTCAAATATGATCATTCAGATATGACGAATTGTTCAATTCTATGAGTTTCATGCCTTCCAGGAGATTGACTTTCTTATGTTCCTTCTGGAAATTGAAAATTTTATATTTATGTTTGTCTTTCTGTAAAAAGCCGAGTATCATACTTCAGTCTTCAACTGTTCTTCAACTTTTCTCCTTATTTTTATTCCAGTTTGAAGGCTGTCAATTTTGGATTTCTTCTTGACGTTCCGCTGGCGCAAGTGGCTAGCTTCTTTTAAAATCTCTGGGTAATTTGGTGTGCTAATACATGTATCTCAATTGGGTAAATTATCAATAATATTCGTTGACCCTTTTGTGCCTGTCGTCATGTTGTTGGTTATTCTTGAACTGCTTAGAATGGGATCCCACATTCGGTTGAGTTTCACAGCTTCTTCTTTTCTGTTCAAATTATCCGTGTGTTTTTGAGTCTATATTGCCTCCCGAACCAGTCGACTATGATATTGAGCAACGAATTTCGTATTTTCAAAACGAATCCTGTGGTTTCCTTCACTGAGTGCTTTCTCCGCCACAGCCAACTTGTCCGTTTGGCCTAATCTGCAGTTTCTTTCATGCTACTTCAGTCTCGTTCCCGCGTATCTTATGGTGGTTCCGATATATACCTTACACGAGTGCACGGTATGCGATATACCTCTGTTTCCGAGTATAGAGGACTGGATTCTCCGGAAGAAGAAAATATTAAGAGCAGATAGTTGTTGGTTCACAGATGGATCAAAAACACCTTCCGGTTCCCGTGCAGGTGTTTTCAGTCGCAGATCCTGGACAGAGATATCAACTTGCCTAGAAACCTATCGACTAAATTTCAAGCGGAAATTTACGCTATTGAATTATGTGCGGGGAGATTGGAAGAATCCCACCTCACACACAAGTCAATAAAAATATTCTCGGATAGTCAAGCGGCATTGGAAGCCATTGGCTCCTACCGAGCAACGTCTAAATTGGTAGCAAATTGCCAAAAACGATTCTCCCCGATAGAAAGATTTAACAGATTGTCTGTGGTCTGTATTCCTGCTCATGCTGGCCTGGAAGGCAATGAAGCTGCAAAGGAGGATGCTGTAAGCAGCTTCATCTGACCAGAACCTGTCATTGGCATCGCAAAGATTGAACTCCTGGATGGCAAGAAGATTTATGGACTTCTGGCAGAATCTTCCAAAATTGGCTCACTCCAAGTCGCTTGTTCATCCTTCGAAGCTTGATACCAAAACAATTGCATTGTTAAACTACTCTAGGGATGAACTACGATGTCTAACAGGCCTTCTAACAGGCCACTGTGATTTGAATCATCATATGCAGAGACTTGGACTGTCGGAAGACAGTGTGTGTTGCCTCTGCTTTGAAAATGATGAAACAGCAGAGCACATACTTCGTGACTGCCCCGCTGGGGATTGAATCAGGTTTTTAGAGATCGTCAGAGTCGTACTCTTACCATATGGCCCACCATACAAACTAATCGGCTCTGTTAGGAAGCTGGGCCACAATAAACTCTTGCGAGTTGCGGTGGAGGGTCGAATAGACCCACTCACTTCGGACTTAACCTAACCCAACCTATACCCCTGCTGCTGATGGTGGATCTCTTTTGTCTTTAGTCGTGACATTATTCACAGGACTGCTACACAATATAGTATTTGAAAGAGGTAAAATTCCTCTTAGGATGGAACACTGTCATCCTCAATGGCGAACATTCGATATTTCGGAATAAGAGATGGAGAAGTGAAAAACCAAAACCTTTTTTTTCAAAATTAGTCTCTCATAAAAATATACCCCTTTCAGTTCATAAAAAAATATGTTTTGAAAAACAATAAAGTGATTTCTGATGAAAAATTACTGTTTTTTATTATCAGGTTTAAAATATGAGTGTTGACCCACTAAAGAATTCATGTTTTTCCGAAAACTTAATAAACATATTGTCTTGCTCGATAGATGACTCATTTATTCTGTAGAAATTCATATTGAATATAGGATGAAGAAAATAACTTAGTAGAAATCAGACAAAGGTTATTTTAATAAATTGATGGATGTAGCCGTTACTACCTGGTAGTAGAGAGTAGAGGTGAAAGAGAATCGAAACTTTCTATGTTTTATGAGTTTGAAAATGTCCTGCAGTAACATCATAGTACAGTATCCTGCCGCAAAATCACTACGTTCATAGCGTAGTTAATCAAACTCAAATTTTACATACATTTTTGAATAGGAAAAAACATTTATGACAGGTTGCCAGTCAAAAAGTGGCCGTCAATATTTTTATTATCAAAACTCAAGCTACTGAAATACTTCATGGAGTAAGAGCTGGGTCAATCCCTCTACGAAACCATTCATCACTTGAAAAGATCGATTACAGCTTGAGAAATGGTTCTGAAGCATGTTCTTTCTAATTAATCAGTAGACAGTTGTCCTGAAAATCTTGCGATTGGATAATTTAGGAAACACTAGCTACATGAATAGCATTTCACAAGTATTGTTCATGACGAGCTTTTAAAGATGAACAAGAACAAGAATGTTTTCTACTTATTCACCAAACTCAAACACCTGTTCATGCAGCTGCAGTTTTTTAAGAATGTATCATCTCCAAATACGCAAAGTTGCACGGATGCGTATTAAACATTTCACCTTGGTAAGGTGACCAGAGGAAAGTTGCAACCTCAGCATATGAATTTTTATTATTGAGGGAGATCGAGATCAACAGAAAGTATTGAGAAATTCATTCAATATTCATCGATCACTCTTCAGAAACGGTTCCAGAGCATTTTAAGGATGCAGCACATCTCCTATTCATCGTTCCTGCTGTTTTAATAACTACCCTCAGCGTAATTTTTTCATTTTCATCATAATGAATACTTCATTCAGTTTTAAATGAGTTCTTTCATTATTTTGATGAAAGAGGGTTGGTTGAAACTGCGATAAATCCCCTCGCGATGAGCAAAGCGAGTACTGAGTTACAATTACAATTCTTACATTTATTCTTCAAACTCCAATCTGGAGTGTTATTAATATCCTTTTGCTGATATGTGCAGTCTTGGACTGTTTGGACTGATTTGAAAAAATTAAAATCATCAGCAAAAAGAAGATAATCTATATATTTCAAAATTGAAGGTAAATCATTGATGAAAATTATGAACAGAAGTGGACCTAGATTCGATCTTTGTGGTACACCTAACCTAGCTGGAAATTTATCTGAAATTTTTCAGTTATGTTTGACAATGAAAAACCGATTTTGAAGATAATTCTCCGTTAGTTCCAATTTTTTTTATTTCATATACACTCAATTATTATGAAATTTGTTTTCAGATTTCTCATACTTTATTTGGTTTCCCCCATATAGCCATTGTAAGTACATATATACCCATAGATAGAGCTGAAGAAGTTTTACTTCAGTCGTGTGGTTCGAAGCACAATTTCTTTTTTTAATTAAAAATATTTGCGGCCACATTTTGACTGGCACCCTGTCGTAAATATATTCTCCTATTCACAATTGTATGTAAAAATCTGAGTTTGGTTAACTACGCTATGGAGGTAGTGATTCTGCAGCGGGATCCTAGACTATTAGTTACAAATAGAAGTGGTAAGAAACATAGAAAGTTTCAAAAGTTATTTTCTTTATCCTACATTCAATCTATTTTTCAATGTATAGTCCCTTCAGTTCTCCACTGCATAAGTGTCGATTGAGAACAACATTTATTGAACTGTTTGATTTTTCAACAGCACTTTCAATCTCAGAACAAGGAAATAAATGCCTCGTCGAGAGCCAGATACGAAATGATGACGGTTCGTTAATGGAGAAAATAGAAAATTTAATGTCTTCACAAAAGTAAGTACTTCAGATTATGTCGAATCTCTGGTTGTTTTAGAGTTACACATTGGTTATTGGAAACTCTTATGTTGGTCATTGATATACTGGAAACTTTCCAAAATTGTGATACAAAAATAATATTAGTTACTACTGTTACTAATTTTACTAACAACAAACCGTTATTTTTAACCCCTGGACACGTGTTTCAATCACCAAGTGATCCTCTTCAAGAGGGAGATTAAAGGAAGTTCAATCTTCTCTAACACCAAACCGTTATTTTTAACTCCTCTACAAGTATTTCAATCACCAAGTTATCCTTTTCTAGAGGGAGACTAAAGGAAGTTCAATCTTCTTCTCTAACACCAAACCGTTATTTTCAACACATCGACACGTGTTTCAATCACCAATTGATCATCTTCAAGAGGAAGATTAGAAGTTTTGATGGAGTTTAATTCCAACACCAAACCGTTATTCTTAACCCCTCGACACGTGTGTCTATCACCAAATGATCCTCTTCAAGAGGGAGATTAAAGGGAGTTTCATCTTCTTCTCTAACACCAAACCATTATTTTTAACTTCTTGACACGTGTTTCAATCACCAAATTATCCTTTTCTAGAGGGAAATTAAAGGAAGTTCAATCTTCTTCTCTAACACCAAAAAGTTATTTTTAACACCTCGACACGTGTTTCGATCACCAATTAATCATCTTCAAGAGGAAGATTGAAAGTTTTAATGGAGTTTAATTCCAACACCAAACCTTTATTCCTAACCCTTCAATACGTGTTTCTATCACCAAATGATCCTCTCTTCAAGAGGAAGATTAAAGGAAGCCTCATCTTCTTCTCTAACACCAAACCATCATTTTTAACTCCTCGACACATGTTTCAATCACCAAGTTATCCTCTTCTAGAGGGAGATTGAAGGAAGTTCAATCTTCTTCTCTAACACCAAACCGTTATTTTCAAACCTTCGACACGTATTTCAATCACCAATTGATCATCTTTAAGAGGAAGATTAAAAGTTTTGATGGAGTTCAATCCCAATACCAAATCGTTATTTTTAACCCCCCGACACGTGTTTCAATCACCAAGTGATCTTCTTCAAAAGGGAGATTAGAAGAAGTTTAATCTTCTCTAACACCAAACCGTTATTTTCAAACCTTCGACACGTATTCCAATCACCAATTGATCATCTTCAAGAGAAAGATTCAAGGAAGATTTATCTTCTTCTCTAACACCAAACCATTGTTTTTTACACCTGGACACGTGTTTCAATCACTTGGTGATTGGTAAAAAAAATAATGGTTTGGCGTTAGAGAAGAAGTCCAAGTGATCCTCTTTAACAGGAAGATTAAAGAAAGTTCAATCTTCCTCTTGAAGAGGATGACTTGGTGATTGAAACACGTGTCGAGGTGTTAAAAATAACGGTTTGGTGTTGGCATAGAACTCTAGTACTAGTGGATAATAACGCATTGATATGGTGTAGCGATTATCGGATTCAACTCTGCTCATCAGCAAGTAACCAGACCTTGAGTGAACCATTTTCGAATTTTTTCTTTATTACGTTATTTTGAATTTCAGGTCATCAGAATGCAAATTTTCAGTAGGAGTTAATAAGTCTCCTTTTTGTTATCAACATAAAACTGAAAAACCCCTTCCAAAAAGCTGCAAGGAGGTACAAACGAAAGGTAAGATGAATATTTGGAAAACTGTATTATAACTTCCATTTATTTTAAATGTCCCCTCCTTGTCACCCGTTCTGATGATCTTGTTCCCTGTATTAGTTTGTACGTGGATGGATGTCATATTCCGCCAGACATAATTGTTCTGAGCCGACTCCAACATTGTTAAAGCAATTCTTCAGTTCCCTTCTCGGTTGGTCTCTTCATTAAAATTCATCCGTGTGTTTTTCCAGTGTTTTAGACTCATTTTCCATCAGCCTTTTCATTTCTTATGGTACCTCAGTGTGTTGGCACCCAGTGTATAGTTAATATATTCCCGTCCGCCAGTTTTTTCAGTTCTTTCATGAAGTTAGGTAGTAACAGTAGCCCTAGAACAGAACCTTGAGGCACTCCAAGAGTTGAGTCTGTAGAATTTGATAATATTCCATTACGGTGCCTGATAGGCCTCAATAAGCGGTTCCAGTGTGCCTTATATGCAATAAAACTGTCGCTATTATTGAGAGTGGCAATTTGTACCAACACTACGAAAAACTTCATGCATATCTCAGTTCTTACAAAAAAGCACGAAATTACTAGTTCGTTGCATGAGCGAGCAAGAAAAATCCACAGAAACAGCGTTCTGTGTGTACTGGACGCTTAATAAACAACAGAAACCGTTTTCAGATTCTGAGATGGTGAAGGAATGTATGTTGGAAGTAGTCACGGCACTTTTTGAAGAATAAAACATGATGTCGCTGCATTTAAAAGTATTCAATTATCAGCGAGAAGTAATACACGAAAAACGGAAATTTTAGCTGCTGATATTAAAAACACTCTTCTTGAACTCCTGCAAAAGGTACTTTGCTACGCCATAGCACTTGATGAAACATGTGACATCGTTGATGATGAACATTTTCGTAAGATTTCTTGATATTGAGTGTCAGATTTTTTGAAAAGAGTTGCTAGCAATATCGCCGTTGAAAGGTTACACTCGAGGAGATTTATTCAAGGTTATTTTTGAGTTTATTACTAAATCTAACATTAGTTATGATAAAATGGTGTCGCTTTCAACTAACGGAGCCCCAGCAATGATTAGCAGAGAAAAAGGTGTAATAAAGAGAACCAGGGATACAAACTCGGGTCTAGTGTCATATCAGTTCACAATTCACCAGGCAGCCCTTTGTGGAAAACTTATTGCTAGACTGAAAGAAGTGATGGACAGCTTGATCAAGTTGATTAATTTTATGAGATCTCATTCTGCTCTTCAGCACCGACATTTCAAGGAGTTTCTTTCTGATTCAACGTATTCTGACTTACTGCTAAGTAAAGATTAAGCTAGCATTGAACGTTTCTGGGCAGATAAAAGAAGTAACCTCCTTCTTGCAAAATATAGAAACGCAAAACAGAATTTTTTTTCTTTCGTGTATTTCAATGTTTATTTGACAGCAGCTGTTTCAGGAGGACTTTCTTCCAGTTTGTGTCTGAAAGTAACTTCTTTGCATGATATACACATCCGTGTATAGATTCACTTATTTTCAAATATATTACTTCCTTTCTTTGGAAGATTCCCACATCTTTTTTTTGTATCAAGATCAAGTAGTAGAAAGCCAAAAACTTTCTTTTCCAAAATTAATCACTCCCCTTCAATTCAAATAAGATTCCTCTTGGCTGGGATTGAATCAAGTAGGTTGAATGAATGTCATTACGATGTCATCGATGATATAAGCAGATCAAGCGTATTCCGTGACATTAAAAATCGTAATTCATGAATGATTTGTGTGTATTTTCTATAATATTATTCAATTTGGTACTGAAGAGCCTTAAGGCAAGTGTCTTACGGCGAAACATCGATGTATATATACCATAGAGGATGACAGTGTTCCATGTGAGTGCAATTTGTTACCATTTATTTAAAGTAGAACTCCTGTGAATGATATCTGATTTTATTCCATAACGAATGTTTGGAATAAAAACTGAGTAGAGAAAAGTATTTTCTTTATAATTCAGTGTTCATATAAAAGTATTTGTTTCGAAGGAATTTTGTTCTTTCGTGTTCTTTCAATGTTTATATGAAAGTATGGAAGTAGCTATTTCATGAGGACTTTCTTCCAGTTTGTGTCTGAAAATTACTTATTTGCATGATCTACACATCCATGTATAGATTTACTTATTTTCAAATTGATTACTTCCCTCCTTTCTTTGGAAGATTCCCACATCTTTTTTTGTATCAAGATGGAGTAGTAGAAAGCCAAAAACTTTCTTTCCCAAGAATTTATTCATTTTCCGACAATTCTTGAATATAAAAAGAACTCTGAAGAAGAAATTGCAGTGTTTATAAAATTTCTGGCTGATCACAGGAACGAATTTGCTACAAGATTCCAAAACTTTTCAGAGATGGACAAGCTATCCGTTTCTTAAATCGCCATTTGAAGTTGATGTAACAGAAGAATGGACAGATGTAACTGCCAAGTGGTTTAATCTGTCAAAGGCATCAAAGACATGCAGAAGAAATACTGTCAAATACTTACGAAATATTGAACTCATGAACTTTTTCGTGATTTTTTGTTTCCAGGCTCTTATCATACCAGACCAGTCTTGATGTTAGTATTGCGTTCATCAATGTTTCGAGTTTTCTTTATAAGTATGCAGTACTCAATGGCTTCAACATCAACCAAAAAAAATCTGTTTAAAATCTGTTTAAAATCTGTTTTTTCGTTAACCAGCTGTCGCACCCCTACGAACGACAACCCTCAGAAGTCGAAACTTGTGCGAGCTAAGGATTAACGAGGTCTTACCTTTTAACGTGTGATTCCTAACACGGAAAAAATTATATCTTTGGGAAATGATCATAGAAGTATATGTTATAAGCAAGAATGTTTGTGTAATGTTCAAAAGGAATAATGAAACACTGATTGCTGTCATCGCACCACTATATTACACACTATATACAAATAGACTGAATCCCGTCGTGGAATGAAAATTCTCTGGTAGTAAAGTAAAACCTAAAATATACATTCCTCAATAACTATAAAAAATCATAAATTAAACATAGGCGTAGATAGAGAATTTTCAACAGGTAATGAATAGTTTTAATACATTACAGTTTGGATGAAGTTTTTTGGTTTGATTTCAGTTGCTACTTTTTCCGAAACGACAAATTGAAAATGATCTCTATGGCAAGTGATAAAAAAAATATTTTTGGGCAGCTTCCACCTTCTCCGACTTTGTTTTGTTGTCTTTCACAAACCCATATATTTCTTTTCTCATATTTTCAGGAAACAACGTTTCTGGAATATACGAAATTCAGCCGAATATGTCCCAAGAACCATTAATGGTTTTGTGTGACATGGAAACTATGGGTGGGGGTTGGACGCACATACAAAAGCGGTTCGATGGTTCTCAGGACTTTTATTTAGGTTGGCGGGAGTATAAATTTGGATTTGGAAACCTCAACGGAGAGTTTTGGCTGGGGCTCGAGAATATATATCTATCGACAGGTGAGAAATAACAGGGCACAGGTTGAAATTGTCCATTTCATCGGCGAACTTTCATGAAAATAATCGGGGGTGTATTAAGACAACATGGAATTGGTGATATCCTTGGTGTTAGCACTTGGGCCCCTTTTCCTTGTAAAATATTTCGTCAAAAACTGTCGACCTACAACACTGAGTAAACTGAAAAGTGATACTTGACAATGTCAAGCTTGCGATTCTTGCTCCATCTAGCAACATGTGTGCAAAGTTGGTTAAATTTCATTTCTCGCTTCAAATGTTTTGGACAAAACAAAAGAGAATCGGTTACAACACCAGGGTTTCTATGCATCTTTCAAGTATGTCATAACTTATGGTTCCAGCATGATGACAAACTTGCTCCTTCCACCAGTGATGTTTCTCAATGGCTGTGGTAAAAGATCCACCTAGTTTTTTAATGCAGTGGTTCTTATCCTGTGATAAGCGGATCTCTGGGGGTCCGCATGTTTTATCTATAGACATTTAAATTAATAAACGAAGGTCAGCAAGTCTCTTACGTGCTGGCTGATATCGTCAGTGCCCTTAACAAACTTAACTTACGTCTATAAGGAAGAGATAACAACATCTTCTAAGTTGAAAATAAAATAGAAACTGTGATAAGAAAGCTTGACCTCTGGATCAATCGTACAATTGAAAAACCTTTAATAATAATAATAATAATAATAGTAAATGGGCTTTATTCATTGACATTAAGAAGAAGTAGATACAAAAATGTTTTACAACTTAACCTAGGGGATAGCATGTATCATATAGAAATATAAAAATAATTATCTAGTGTACATTAATAATAATTTCTACACTGGTAGCGTTTTTGGTAAATCCTCTGGTGAGGAAATGTGAACAACGCAGGTAGAAACAGAAATGAGTAGACACCTCCATGGTTTGAGATCTTCTTTTCTGGATTATTTTCCAGAACTCGACATAAATAAAAACTAGTTAGTAGACCCTTTCAACACAGATGTTTCAAATAGCATCGACTTGACAACGGTACAGGAAAAACATGTGATTTCATGCCTCTCACTAATAAACTTAACATGCCAAACAGCTGAAACTGATTATATTGTTGTAGATCATGCCCGAAAAAAAGTAACGCCGGCCGCCACTGGTAACCACAAACCAAACGTGACGTAGCTAAGAGCGCGGGAATGCCCAATGTTCCCTGTCGCTGGAGAAGCAGCAAGAACTTCGGCAAAAATTCTACGATGTTCGATTACGATATTTAAACGCTAGCGGCGGGCATATCGAGACAGTCAAGTACACAGTCAAGTGGACGTTACAGTGCAGTACGCGAAGTGATCTAGTAAGGCGATAGACATTAAAATAATAGTTGAAATTTTTAGTTGAAGTGTTCGTTGTATTTCAAGTGAAATAAAGTTAAGTTTGATTATTCAGTGTAGTCAATTATTGGGGAACCCACGGGGAAAAACGTAAAATTTGGTGTCAGAAGTGGGATAATTGACTGAAAATTTTCTGTCTTATGGTGAAAACAAGGAGTATCGATTACGACGAGATGGAAGAGCTTAAGAAAATGGTCGAAGCTTTGCAAGCGAGCCTGGCAGAGAATGAAAAACTCAGAAGAGAGGAAGATGAACACAAAGAGAGGAAGATGAACGAAGAAGAGAGGAAGAACAATTACGCCGAAATGAAGAAAATGAACGACGGAGGGAGGAAGAAAAGTTACGCAGAAATGAAGATCGTGAATTAATAAGGAATTCAAGAAAAACAGGAAAAAGACAGAGACTTGTTGGTGAATATTCAAGAAAAACAGGAAATAGACAGAGACTTGCTGATGAATATTCAGGAAAAACAGAAAAATGACAATCAGATGTACCTTCATTTATTGGAAGATTTAAAATTTTCCCAAGTGAAATAAAGTTAAGTTTGATTATTCAGTGTAGTCAATTATTGGTGAACCCACGGGAAAAAACATAACAATATCGGGACGAGAGTACCAAAATGAAAAATAGGTAATAGAATATACGTAGCCCACGAAGTTTGAACATTCAGCTTAGTTTTTTAACAGCCCACAATATCAAAAACAAGTACAGAAACATATTACAATTGGAATCTGATTTGAAATAACAACCAAGCAACAACAACAACCTGAATATTACTAATTCAGTTACAAAAAAGCAACACGAACCTTCACATTTATCGAGTTTTTAAATTTTTTTGAAAGAGTTATTTTTTTGGCAGTTCTAAGTGCTAACTAAATTTCTGACTTTAATTCCTGTTTTTTATTAAGGGGGTCCTTGAAACTGTATTCAAATTTCGATCGTGCGTTTAGTAAAAAATTCCCCAAAATGTGATGTTACCGAATGCGGTCCTACGATACTTACTTCTTCACCAGTGGTGTACGCATCGGTCACAGCTTGACCACAGTTGTGTTATTCTACTATGGCTTGACAATATTTTGTTTCTTTCTCTAGTTCTTTTCTGTCATTCCAGCAAAGGAACCCACAGAGTTACTCGTCGAGGTCATCGATAGAGACAATGTGAAAGCTCATGCTCACTATAAAGCATTTGCTGTAGGATCTGAAGGGGCAGGGTATCCATTGAGCGTGTTAAAAGATTGCACCGGGGATGCTGGAGACGCACTAACTCACCACCTTGGTATGAAATTCTCAACAAAAGACTTTGATCAAGACGCGTACGGGCAACATTGTGCTGTGTTATTCAGTGAGTAAAAATTAACGAATTGAACAAAAACAATAGCAGATTATTCGTTCAGTCTCAAATTACCTACAATGTAGGTTAACGGACTGACACCTATCAGAAAACAACTACTACCCTGGCTAATACCACGAAAGTCATTGGAATATATACGACAGGAGTCAGTTACCTCGTTCACGGGCAGATGGGGCGATGACAAACTCCTGTTGTTCGTTGTTCGCTTCAGCCTAGTTCGAGGAATGATACTCTGAAGGAATTATATTTTCAATTATCAGAAATCATCGACTTGTCGATGCTAGACACTACCTTGCACTGGCGAGTAGCCAAACAGCCCGAAACCGGTCTGCCAGTGTGTTTCAATAATTAAAAATCTATTGCGGCAGTTGTATCGCCAACAGCATATGAAGGAATGACTTCAGTGACAAATCCTGCACTGCACCGTCGGATATAATCCAATGCCCTTCGTGGTATTAGCCAGGGGAGTTAAATATCGGTTTGAAGAACACCATCAGTCCCTTACTGAGTCACATTGGTGAGACTTGTGGTCTTTTTCTCATATGTAATAGACATGAAATTTCATTGAGAGAAAAATAATGTAATAAAGTGAAACTTCATTGTGGAATTTTCATTGAAACAGTTCTTCAAGCATTCTTGCTTGGGGAAGTTATTGTATGTGAAAATACGTGTCGCGGTTTTTGTAAAACAGTCTGTACTTAGTAGTAATCTTATAGTAAACTCTATTAGTACGTTACAATTACACATTTTCCCATACTTGATATTAGCATAGAAAAAATAATTCAAAAGTATTTTCATTTCAAAAACTCATTGTTGTTGATGAGTATTTATTTGTTGTTGCCATATGAATCTAGTATGGTTTCGTGTTATGAGATGATTTCACTAGTAGTTGTGTGTCTGTCTGTAGAGTAGGGAGGCTCAGTGTAGGCCCACAGCACTTAGGCCACATGTGACCCATTGTACATCCTCCCGAGGAGTTGTCCTCCCAGATCATCGTCCATCCTGTCCTTTCCAGGAAGGTGGACAGGTCTCTGGGAGACATACCCTTTATATCGGCAGGTGTAGGCCAAGACTCGCCGAACACACACTCTCTTATTGACGATAACTCCGGACACTCGCAGAAGACAGCTTCATCTTCCTGTTCACACATCCTGCATAGAGGTGTGACCGACCACAGAAATCCTACTGTTAAGCGTAGGTTTTTCCTGGTCATCGCCAGATATTTCTTCGGCGCCAGCCTCCCATAGTCGCTCAGGATGATCCTGGCAAGACTGCATCCTTTGATTCCATCCCATGTCTTTAGAGATTGAGTATGGGTGTTACTTTTGGCTAGTTCCGCAATTGTCGAAGTCATCAGGCCGTAGATGCCACTAGTCCAGCCGCTTCCTTGGCTAAAGATACGAGTAGTTATTGAGTTCCATATCAATGACTTTATGTTGAGGATTGCCCAAACACTAAATGTTTCACTTAAGTTCAATATCAGAGAACTTAATTAGAAAATGAACTGTTCTATTTTATTATAGTTTGTAGGATTTTATGGCCGGGCCGGTGTCTAACAAACTGTTAGATATTTCCGAGTTTATTAGCCGTGGTCTGCCGGTTTTTATGTCTGACGTTTCGTTTGCCACTGCGGCAGTCATTATCAAAAGCTATGCGGCAACGGTCGACTTGATCTACCTTGCTGCAATACGCGAACTAAAAAAGGTCCTGGTGCGTGTGTGCTTATAATGAGACTAGAAATTCTTCAGATGATAAATTGTCTTTGGTAGTCCTTTTGGTTCGCAGACAGTTCTTGCCCTCTCTACCAGAGTCTTAATGACCCCTTTTTTACGTCGCGGATGAAAAGAGGGGTTGTGAGGGATGTGTCCGCTACAGAAAAGATGAGTTATTACGAATTTGATAGAGAGCGCAAGACATATCCGCTAACCGGAAGAACTACAATGGGAAATGTGTCATCTGAAGAATGCGTTTTTAGGTAACGGATATAACGAAGCCGAAAAAAACCGAGCCTCATGACCCATACAGAAACACTCCATGGTGCCACTGGACCGAACGGCCAATGGAAGAACTTTGCTGCCCTACATGAAGTCTCTCAGAGGGCAGCCATGACATCCTCGAATGCTCGCAAGTTCTTGATAAAACCGGAGGTTACTATCCGAGGCTATTTGAAAGGCCATAGAAATTCATAAACGTAATAATCAATTCAACCATAAGGAAGAGAGCTTGAACATCAACAAGACATGGATTCGCACTAATTAACCCACTGATTGAAGAAGGGTCAAACTAATCAGGTGCAAGAGCAGTCGGTCGTCCGACACCTAGTCCCATTATTAGTAAGATGTCTGCCGCAGTAGCAGACGAAACGTTGGGTGTATAAATATACATTCCGCAGCGATTGAACCCGAAAACTTCAAACAATTTGTTTCATCTCATTTCAACTCTGCCAGTAAGAATATATCACTATTTTTTTTCAAATTTCAGGTGGAGCTTGGTGGTACAAAGATTGTCACATCAGTAATCTCAACGGAAAATACCGAAATAGTGTTCTATCTGACCAGTATAAATACCAAGGAATGCATTGGAAAACATTTCGAAACCATGAGTACTCTCACGCTAAATCCAGGATGTTAATTAGATGAGCCTGATTATTATAGAAACACCGGATTTGATCGGACTGTCCGATGCTTTTCCCCAAACGTTTGTGTTCTAATGTGTCTTTGAATAAATAGTATGAGTATGTCAAATATATTTTCTGGGTCGCAAACTATATTGGGAGCTATTGAAATACTAAGGAGTCAAGTATTCAAAAAACATGCTTCAATGTGAGATTTCCGCTTGAAAGTGTATAGCCTAGAGCGGAAAATATGTCGCGGTTTAGTAAACTTCCAAATGGAAATATCACAATAAAGTGTGTTGTACAGTTTCGGCTTCTAATATGTGTGAATTCAGTTTAATTGAATGGGTAGGGTGAAAATAATACTTCACAGCTTACACACCACTAACATTCAATGTTTCGATACACTGCGTCATCTTTTGAGCAAGTTATAAACTAGGTTTATAACCTAACACCTGTTTCGAACACTGGCATCTTTTGAGCGTGTACTAAACTAGGTAGTTAGTTTACAATCAACATTTAATGCTGACAACTGTTTCAACAGACTGTGTCATCTTTTGAGCGAGTGCTAAACTAGTTAGTTAGTTCATAACTCGTTAAGAAGATGTCACCATGTGTCGGAACAGCCGTTAGCATTAAATGTCAATGTTGCGTAAATTGTGAAGCATTATTTTCACCCTACCCATTCACATTAAATCGTGTTTAATGAATATGTTATAATTGATTTTCATCAAATACTATCAGTTCTATCATATTTTTCTAATGAATCCCGCAACAACATCAATCTCTATGAGGTAGACACAAGACCCATATAACATGGTGCATTTCATCCAAAGTGTTCTAACAAAATCGAAATAATATTGTAGCATCTCTGCATGATCAAGTAGTCAGATACAAAAATGAACCATTCACACCAGAAGAAACAATTTTTTGATCACAAGAGTCGAAATTATGTCCAAAAGAAAATATTATAATTGAGTGAGTTGCAAAATGCATACACTCAGTAGAATTCATTTAATCTTATATACAATTTCAAGAAGCAATTTGTTTAGGTATAGTAAATGATATTATCCTTGTATATAGACTAACATACCACATCAAAACCCATTGGAGCTGTGAATTGATTGTAGAATAATATAAATTTTAGACTCAAGTGAGTTACCTCAAAGTCATAATTTGAATCTGGCAAGTGGAATTCTTCAAGAAGCGAAAAAAATTCACAACAAAGATTTGTCACCTTTCGAAGTCCTTTGACTATGAGTGGTATTCGATCTTATTTGACAATTTTTCTCATCGTGAAATTGTGTACTGAATATTGTGATATTATCAAATTACGCTCCTAGAAATGGTGTAGGTACGGACATCTGCCTCACGGTAGGAAAACTATCGCATTAAAAACCTAAAAAGAAATAACAGCATAATTACAGAATACTTTTATGTTCGAGTAGGTAGAGAAATATTACGGATGACTACAATATCCGATATGTCAGAATTTCAACAAAATAAACAATTTTCAAAGTGTTCCTAAGATTTGTTTTGAATTCGAAAATACATTAAGATACATTTTTTCATATTATGAACAACGATAGTTTTCCAAAACAAACTTCCATTGAAGTCTTTTAATTTCCCATGGCCCAACTATGTCAAATATCGACCACAAGTTAACCTTGTGGATATTTACTTTCATTAGGTAGGATGTGGTCGATTTCTCTGATGTCTATCTAATGTTAGTTTCCCCAAAATATTATTAGAAAAACAGTCAAGAGAACTAGTTTTATTCAAATAGTTGCTTAAGAAGAATTTAACATGAGCTGTAAGTAAAATAATTTAATATTCTTTTCAATTAATTTATATGTTGTATTGGTTTGGACAACTTTTAAAAAGGGGTAGCAAATATACATATGCAGTTATAGAGGAAGAAGTATACTTTGAATTTTATTAATATATTGAGCTAAATATAAAAAATTAGTAGCCATTATTTATTGCATAAAATTCTTATTTCGATACGTATGAGGGTAAAACGGGAGAAGTTCAACATAGATTCTCACCTGAAAGTGTATTGATTAGTAACTACTCATAAAAGTATATAGTAAATTATAAGTAAATCAGCTCCTTCCATCAAACCAGCATGGCTTTGAAAAATGATCAGAGTACTGAACAGCTCTACATAATTTCAATGAGTGAAGTTACTGCTCTCGACTGCAAAGTTCTAGTTCGCAGATAATTTATACATTTTTCGGCGCCTTTCATATGGAGTGAATCAATATTCAACTCTTGATACAATCATATCTTGGGAAGAGAAAAAATGTTATCCAAGCTACATAAAGTCAATATATAACAGTCTGCTGAAACTACTGCTTTTTCGGATAAACCATTCCATCAATATCTCCATGACTTCACAATAGTATATATAATTGCAAATGCAGATGCTACAAATAGACAGTATGATGCTACTTACAGAAACAACTGAAAATGTCTACTAGAAAAACCAATTTTACATGGGCTACAAAAAAATCACTTGTCACTCATGGTGAATAAAACAGTATCGATAAATTTATATTGCAAACTCCAAATAACTTTTCCTGTATATTGGAAAATACAGTTCAAAAAATACAGAACACTTTTGAAACAACCTGAAAATTTTGTAAGTGAAAAAGTATGTTTATTAAAAAGAGAAATTGATACTATTATTATTATCGAAAAAACTGCTCAATACTCTTCAATATCTGCAGCCTCTGATAACTACATAGAAGAAACAGTGTGCCAAGTTTCCGAACTACAAGAAAATGAACTAAAAACATTCCAGTTAGGAGATGGTGAAGTCTTGCTCGTGAAACAAAATGGAAAGATCAGTGCCTTGGGCTCGAAATGCACTCATTACGGAGCCCCACTGGCCAACGGTGCTTTGGGCGAAGGCAGGATCCGTTGTCCCTGGCACGGAGCCTGCTTCAACCTCGCCACCGGAGACATCGAAGATTTTCCAGGTCTCGATTCCCTTCCAAACTACCAAGTAACCATCGATGGTAGTAATGTCGTAGTGAGGGCCGATAAAGGGCAACTGGTTTCTAATAAGCGAGTGAAGAATATGGTGGGTCAGTGTCAAGGGGAAAGACACGGTATTGTCGTTATAGGAGGGGGGCCAGCGGCAGCAACTTGTGTTGAAACTCTGAGACAGGAGGGCTACAAGGGGCAAATTGTTATGGTGTGCAAGGAAAACTGCCTGCCCTACGATAGGGTGAGTTAACTTTTTTTAATTTTATACGAGATTTTCTATTTGTGACCAACAATTCCTGAAGAAGTAATTTTCACCATCAATGAAACTTCTTTCAAACCTGCCGAAGGTACTAATGAAATTAATGGCAAAGTTTTGAAAGCAGCAGAACCTTTATCGTATTTTATCAACAAGTCTTATATGTTCTATGTTAGGTATATTTTCTGGCATAAAGGAATCCAAAAGATCGTATAACAATTGATCAATATCCAAGCAAATGTATAAGCACACTGTGTTCAGTAGCATTCTGAATACAGAATATAAGAAATTGAATAATATTACGAATTTTACGACTATTCTGAAATCAAAGTTAAACATAGGTCATTAGACGAATTTCTTGATTTCAAATTTTTATTTGTGATGTGGAAAAGATAAATATAATTTTGCCGATTTGTGAATATTACTATAAATAATAGTTTCATCTCCCTTGGTTTCACCTTATTTCATGTACCTATTGTGATAATAATTTTAGTAACACCTCGTTTCTAATAACAGATTTTTTAAAACTAGTCCAAAAGGCTTTATTATGTTACCATTTAAAGAATTGACTGTCTTAAACTAATTTATTTCTAATAATATTTCACTACTCATAAACTAATTTATTTACAACACTTAGCAACTAACGCTTAGTTTATTTCCACAATTTGAACTCCTTGTTTAACCGCTCGATTCACTTTCTGAACTCAACTGCCCTCTTGGGTCGAGAAGCGAAGTGTAATAGTTCTTTCCAGAACTCTGTAGACGTTTCGGTACTCAACTAGAGTTTTATCGGCGGTTGCCCACTGCATTCATATTGCGGTGATTTCATGTGTTTGTTCGCTGACCGACATATCGGTCAGGGGCGGCTTCAGTTACGTTACAATATTATATTCCAGAGACTTTATGGATGAATAAATACTGACTTACTGTAAATAATTATTTGTTCTTTTATAGGTTTTGGTTACGAAAGAAATGAACTTCGATATAAAAAATGCCGAGTTTCGCAATGATGATTTTTATCAGAAGTTCGGTATCTCTGTTATCAAAGGAGTAGAAGCTCTATCAGTTGATACGAAGAACAAAAAGGTGTCTCTCAGTAATAGCACTGCTCTCAGCTACCACAAACTTTTCATTGCCACTGGTAGCAGCCCTAGGAAGGTTGACATTCCAGGGTGCGACTTGGGAAATGTTATAGTTTTGAGAGACTATGAGAATGCAAAGTAAGTTTTTCAATGTCTTGAAATCGCTGTACTACATTAAAACCGAACATCATTGTTCATTCAAATAGAAAATACAATATACAGGCCGTTTTTTCAGCCGATCCTACTATTGCTATCCCGGAAACGGTAAGACCTACAGGTCTTACCTTATAAGGTCGGATACATTGGACAAAAATTTTCTATTTTGGGGAACTAGAATAATATCTTTTCAGATCGACAATATCAGTGGTTGTTTTCGAAATATTTGCTATTTGCACGATTGGGCGTTGGTTTCAATGTCAACCATGTTTACTTAAGAAATCTACCCACAGTGTCATTGAAAATCTACTGAAATCTACTGCAATATATTTGAAGATCACCAACATAGTGAAAATTTAAGTTTTTGACCATTAGGTGGCGCTTTTAAAGACATTTGAATAGCATGACAATCTAGAAAGCCTTGGCCACCGTATAGAAGTGTTTACTTCTTTATGGTGTGTTTACATTACTCTGAGGTTTACTTCTATACGGTGTGGCGTATGGCCTTCTTGCGGGTATTGCTAATGGGCGTGGTCTAATACTTGAAATAGCAAGTTGCTTTGTAGTTGGTTCTTTGTTGTTGGTTAGGTATTGATTAGATTTAAGGATTCAAAAACAAAAATGTTTCCATGTTTGAAATGAAACTTTGAATTCTTTGGAAGTTTGAAAACGAAAAGTTATGTATTATTATCTTCTTCCATTATTCGGAAGTCGGAGATATTCAGAAAACAGTAACAAGCAATCGAGAAATGGATGTTTTATGATCTGTATCCATTTTGTGTTCTGTGTCAGAAAACAGTAACAAGCAATCGGGAATTGGATGTTTCATGATATGTATCCATTTTGTGTTCTGTATATCGAAGCGGGCAGAACCTAGAAACAATGAATTCATATCACTTGCCGTAGATGTCGCCACTCACATCGAAATGAACATTCTATCGCCATATCTACCGGCGAAAATTCATCTACTGCAATTTTTCAATTTGTGTTCAAAATCTACCAAAAAGTAGAAATCTACCGCGTGTAGTCACAGTGGTTACCAACATTAAAAAATTAAAAACCGCTAATCAAATGTACTTAGCCCGCGAAATTTGAACGTTTACATAATTTTTTAACAATCCACGTACAGATATTCACTATGTTCATAAATAAACAAGTAATTTTCTTAAACTACTAGTATTAAAAATCCTAATTTCACAAAATTGAAGACACAACTAAAATAATATATTTCAACATAGATTGACAGTATTATTTGTACCTTCAAATATTTCCAACTGTTCTATTATCCTCAGTATTTTTACAAAATTTGTTTATTAGGAATGCTAAAATTATTACTAATCACATAAAAATTAGTAACGTGTCCATCAACAAGAATCATTTTATACGACAATAAACATATACAAACAAAAAACTAATCTTTGAATATTTTTCCAAGGTACACCAATTCTCAACTCTCAAAAGACAAAGAGGTAGTAATTTTGGGAGATAGCTTCATAGCCTTGGAGGCTGCTGACTACTGCAGCAGCAGAGTAAAAAAAGTGACTGTTCTCATGAAGGGACAGGTTCCGTTCTCTCATGTCCTTGGTCCGAGGATTGGACGAGCTGTTTTCGAGCTGTTCAGAAGAAACGGAGTCAATTTTGTTACTCAGTGTGGCCTTCGTCGGATCAATGGAAATGGTGGAAATGTGCAAAGTGTGGAGCTTGTTGATGGTATGTAAAAATACATTACCTTCTTTTTTGTGACTAATATCTCATTCAAATTGGTATTTTATCGAAGCTAGGTTGATGAAAGCGTTATTCAAGCTCCTCTCTATTTTTAGTTCAATATTAAGACACTAAGTCATACCGCCATTTTCATCTGATATCATCAAAACTCAAATCACCGCTTTGCGGCACCCGTTTTCAGTCGATGGATGACAAAAAAAAGAGAATTCGCAGCAAAAAATGTCAGTCCAAAGAAATTCGTTTAAAAAATGTTTTAAAACACTCCGTTTTTTTATTATTCGTCTCCTCCTCGGGAGAACTTCGGATTTTCACTTCCAAATACATGGTCCCCTTTGCGTGGTTATCCGAACCACTCCGGCCTGGATACCGGCGTGAGTTTGATGAATCAATCAGGACACAACATTGCGTATCAAGATTGTCGAGCGGAATGGACTCTCAACTCTCAATCAAAAGATGACAATCTACTGTCAAAAAACATAGAACATGGAGCACGAAATACATGATACAACGTACAACAGCACCCACTTCACATTTTGACTGAAACTGTCACATATTGGTTGGCTCAACACAATAGACGATCACAGCACAAAAATAAGCCCTGCGATAGAACATGGCATCCGCGTACCTTGTTTGAGGACGGACTTTATTGACCCGTTGTTGTTGTTGTTCGTTGGCATGAGTGTTATTTCGTAAGGGGCCTTACACTTCTTACGTTTCATTGACCCAATTCCCGATACTTTTTTGACATAGTAGTATAAAGATGCCATAACAGCTTCCATTTTATCAAATACTGTCGTATCAACCTTCAGTACTTCAGTGATTACCTTATCATGCGGGTGACGCTGTTCATCCAGTTACAACCCCAGTGCTTCAACAGTAGAGGGTAAAGTGATGATTATTTTTTTCTTATTCCTTTCCTGCTCCTAAGTGACTGACATTCAGGGTTGAAGTATCTTCAGATTCGTTTGAAGGAGAGTTGATGGTATAGGACAACGGTCGGCAACAGGCGGACCGCGGAAAGTCGAACATAGAACCGCCAAATATTATAATGTGTTATATACCAAGTATAAAAATTAATACGTAGATAAGGTATACTATACCTTTATTAATTGAAGTAATATTTTTAAGCCACATAGAATTTAACTATGTATGTACTTAGTTTATTTCAAGTTGCTTAGTCAATCTCTTTAACAAGTACCTACTACTGATTATATTATTACTCTCCTATCTACCCTGGTGTATGTGTGTTTGTGCGCGCTTGCCACTATTTTGTTTTGTTGAAACAAGCGCGAGCGAGTATCAAAATTGGGGGTGCGGGGGAAACAGACTGTCATTCGCAGCGCAAACCGCGGAGCAACCATTCATTTGTTTTGTGATTTATCGTGTTTTCATAATATTTTCGTACCTATGCTAATATGCATTCTGAAAATCTTGAAGTGTACAGTGAAAATAGGAGGTTTCTGACAAAATGGACTGAACAATATTGTTTTATGCTGCCTAATAGGCCTCTAGCGGTTCCAGTGTGCAATGTGCAATAAAACTGTCGCTATTGTTAAAAGTGGTAATTTAAAGCGACATTACGAAACAGTTCATCAGCAATTTCACTCATAAAGAAAAACTTCAATCTCAGTTCTCACAAAAAAAAGCACAAAATTACTAGTTCGTTGCATAAGCGAGAAAGAAAAATCCACAGAAACCATTTTCAGATTCTGAGAAGGTGAAAAAATGTATGTTAGAAGTAGTCACGGCACTTTTTGAAGAAAAAATATGTTGTCGCTGCATTTCAAAGTATTTCATTATCAGCGAGAAGTAATACATGAAAAACAGAAATTTTTGCTGCTGGTAATAAAAACACTTTTCTTGAACTTCGGTAAAAGGCACCTTGCTACGCCATAGCACTTGATGAATCATGTGACATTGTTGGTGATGAACAAATGTCTATTTTCGTAAGATTTCTTGATACTGAGTGTCAGTTTTTTAGGGAAGAGTTGCTTGCAATATTGCTGTTGAAAGGTTACACTCGAGGAGAAGGTCATTGATGAATGTATTACTAAATCTAACATTAGTTAGGATAAAATGGTGTCGCTTTTAACTGACGGGGCTCCAGCAATGATTGCCAAAGAAAAAGGTATAGTAAAGAGAATCAGGGATAAAAACTCAGATCTAATAACGTACCAGTGCATAATTCACCAGGTAGCCCTTTGTGGAAAATTTAATGCTATGGAGAGCTTGGTCAAGTTGATTAATTTTATGAGTTCTCATTCTGCCCTTCAGCACCGACATAAAGGAGTTTTTCTCTAACAGAATATTCATACTTAACTGTAACACGACAAAATATTCGTTGGCTAAGTAAAAGTCAAGTTATTGAAATTTTTTGGCTGATAAAAGAAGAAGTAACCTCCTTCTTGTGAAACTTAGAGATGGAGGTAGCTAGAAAGCACAAACAAGCGTAATATGCTGGTCGTGGCTTTTTAAAAAGTTGTTTTGAAATATTCAAATGCGCTCAACACAGAATCACAAGGAAATGGAAAATGAATATGTGATCTGATACAAAACGTGTCTACTTTTCATCGCAAGCTGGATATCTTCGAAAAAGATATTGCAAGACAAGAATTTATTCATATTTCGACAATTCTTTAATATAAAAAGAACTATGAAGAAGACATTGTAGTGTTTGTAAAATTTCTGGCCGATCTTAGGAACGAATTTGTTACAAGATTCCAAGACTTTGCAGAGATGGGCAAGCTATCTCCGTTTCTTAAATCGTCATTTAAAGTTGATGTAGCAGAAGAATGAACAGATGTGGCTGCCAAAGGTATCACTTCAAATAGAGATAATTTGTAAGAAGATGTGTCTTTGCGAATATGTAAAACGGTATCCACTAAAGAAGTGTGGATCAAACATGTTCCAGAAAAATAAGAAAATTGCAAGAAACTAGCAATAAATTTGGCCACTATGTTTGGCTCGACATATGTATGTGAAACATCTTTCTCAAAGATTAATTTTTTGAAAAACAAATATCGTTCGAGATTAACGAACGCCCACCTAGAAGACACACTTTGAATTTGCTGTTCCTCTCGAGAAGCAAACTATAAAAAAACTGGCTAAAGACCGTCGGTGTAATTTCTCACATTAATTTTAGGTCTTACGTTTTATAATTCAGAATTTGATTTGAAACCAAAATAATACATAAGTAGACTTAATTTTTATCAGACCTCGTAAAAATGTTCCCACAGTTACCGGACCCCACCTAAAACTACCTACCGACCCCTAGTATACGACCTGTCATTTAAAAGTTACGACGAGTAACTGATAGTAACAACATTTCTGCGATATAAACCCTACGCTTGGTCTATTATTACCTGCACAACTTTCCCTTTTGGTAGTCCTGTTATAACTGCAACATTGAACTCATTCCTCCTCCAGGCACTTCCATCCCTGCGGACCTCCTGATAGTGGGCATCGGGATCACCCTCAATACGACCTTTCTGAAAGATTCCGGCATCGAAATCCAACAGAACGGATCCATCGAAACGGACCAGTACCTGCAAACCAACATACCGGAAGTGTATGCCGGCGGAGATGTAGCTTGGGCCCCTGTTTGGTGCGCCGGCAACCAAAAGGCTTCCATAGGCCACTTTGGGCTAGCCCACTACCACGGCAAGACTGCCGCCTTGAATATGATAGGGAAGCAGAAGGAGCTCAGGAGCGTTCCGTATTTTTGGACGAGGCTGTTCGGGTTGTCTATAAGGTGAGGTGGATGGTAAATTTTTTTATGTACTATAACAATTTTCAATTGAAGGTGATTCATTAGCAACGTCGCACTTGAAGTGACCAACGGATAATCCTCTTACCAACTCTGCAGAGACGTACCAAAATAATATTTTCATTTATTGAAACACATAGGTAATTACGTAAAAATTGTTATAGTAGGTGGCGCTACCTGGTGTTAATGGTAAAACTGATTACATTTTCTTATTATGCCTAATACAGTACTTCAAAAAAACAAATTACCAAATAATAATTATATTCCTTTTATATAGAAAGAGAACTACAAAGCAAAGAAATAATTACCTATGTTATGCTTAAGAAGTTTCAGAATCCACTGACTCGTCCGAAGAGAAATCCCCAATCACACTTAAATCTACCATCCCGTCCAATCTCCACATTTTCTCTTCTTCCTTGATCACATGGGCTACAGCATTAGCCCAATCTTCTTTCCGTATCCGTTCCATTGCGAGTTCTAATAAACGTTGGACATCCAGAAATTTTATGTCACGTTTTCACGAGCTATGTAATCCTTAATTTGAGCCCAGGTTAATTCTATCGGGTTTAACTCGCAATGGTAAGGATGAAGTCTCAAAATGGTGACGCCTTCAGCACGAGCTATTGTATCCACCACATGCTGGAAATATTTGTCACGATGCTGTTTAATGACGCTCATTAACCTAACCATGTCCTCAGAAAATGGAATTCCTTTTTGTCCTAACCAACTCTGCATGTCTGCTTTTCTGGTGGTCATAGTTGGCAGCTGTTCTACTAATTGACTGTGATAAAAAGCGTTATCCATTACTATTACCGAATTTGGCTCAACTCGTGAAAGAAGGTATTCAAACCATCCTGCAAACCTAAAGTGTCCGAGACTATTTAGGACTGTAAGTTTGTCATGTCATGTCATGCGCAGTTTCCATACAGTTTCGAATGTTAGAACCAGAACAAACCTACTGTGTCTTAAATTACAGAAAAATTATAATTTTGCAGATACTGCGGTTTCGGACATTTCGACGATATAATCTACGTTGGAGACGTGGAAGCTTTGAAATTCGTGGCGTTTTACCTTAAAAGTGACGAGGTCGTCTCTGCAAGTTCGTGTGGCATGGATCCGATTGTATCCAAGTTCGGGGAGCTGCTAGCGCAAGGTAAGAAGCTCAAGAGGGAGGATTTGGTTGATGACCCTCTCGGATGGACTAAGCCGAAGCTCGTTGTCCAGTTATAAACTGTATATATTTTTTTCAGTATTGTTTTATGCCTGACATTGCGTGTAATATAAAAAAAAATATGTCAGTTAATAGTTGTCTTTTTTTTGTTGTCAGACAATCAGTTTGCGTAACAATTTTTGGTAATTTGAAGAAAAAGGATGAAAAGTATTTTTCCTACGGATGCTATACAATGTGCCACTTCTCTCATTGTTTTCATACGTTCAAAACGAAAGATTCCTCACTTAACAAAATTGTTCAAATATAACCTTTAATTACTATTTTAAACAAAATATAAAAATGAGTTATTGACATGCAAGCATTATTATATACGTATTTTAATTTTCAATACTTGAAAACAACGCAACCGTAGAAAAAGTACAGTGTACAATGCGTGAGAAAATGACATATTTCTCACTCGCTTGATTTGCGATTCTCTCGTGAAAAATATGTCGTTTTTCTTGTACAATATACTATCGTGTGTAAAAAAAGCATTGCTTTTTGGCGAAAAAATACTTTAAGTTTGCGGGGACTTTCCCGAGAAAACTTCCCGCAAATTTCTACCCGGAATCATCAATGTTACATATTGTTGTGAATTATCCCTTGAAAAAAAATAACGCCCGCCGCTGCTGGTATTCATCAATCGTTCTAGGCGTCGCACCGATTCGAAAAGATCCCTGTCGACTTCCAGTAGGAAATAGAAATACTACTGACAGGAGATCGGGCAAGTCTAGTTAATAGTGCGGTACGAAGTGAGCTAACAAGGCGATAGACAGTCAAGTATTGTTCTGAAGTCCAGTTGAAGCTTTTATGTTATAACGGCAGAGTAGTAAAGTTGAGTTTAATTGTACGGTGTGGTCAATTATTGTCGAGCCCACGAAGACTCGCCTAACACACATTCTCTTATTAATGATAACTCCGGACACTCGCATAGGACATGCCCGACAGTTTAGTCTTCCTGTTCACACATCCTGCATAGAGGTGTGTCCACTAGCCCCATGTGTTTCCTTAGTTGACAGTGGCCAGTAAGAAATACTACTGTTGAGCGTTGATTTTTCCTGGTCATCGTCAGATATTTCTTCGGAGTCAGCTTCCCAGGGTCGCCCAAGGTGATCCTGGTAAGATTGCATCCTTTGATTTCATCCCATCTCTTTGAGATTGAGCATGGGTGTGACGTTTGGCTAGTTCCGCAATTGTCGCACTGAGACCTAAAATTCTCAGTCCAGCCGCTTCCTTGACTAAAGAGTCGGCAATGCGATTACCTTTACTCCTGTCGTGCCCTTCAACCCACCTCAGGATAATTTCATTATCTACCGAGGATTTGGCTAAATCTTGGTGGCACTCTAGTACTAGCCCTGAGGTAACACTCTGTCTGTTCAAGGCTAATAGTGCTTGTCTGCTATCAGTGCAGATTGTTATGTTTTTGCCAGAAATTCCTTTCCTGGTTATTTCTTTTGTGGCGATTGATATACCAGCCAGTTCTGTTTGGACCACGCTGGTATTTCTTCCCATTCCCCACTTAATCCTTAGGCTTGCACAGGCGTAAGACATAAGACGGGGCGGCAAGAAATGTAAGGAATACGAGAAGCAGAAGATGACCAGGGACAGGTTGTGTTCTGACAACTTAACTTTAAAAAGCTGAACAATATATCGTCCTAAAGATAGACTCTGAAATGATATTCCTAGGGATTACAATGTTCCAAATAATAATGAACATGCCAACCTAGTGATTCCCAAAGTGTTTGCCGCGGCACCCGGGGGAGTCGAGATTCCGTTATGGGCGCCGCGAAATATCCAATTAAACCATTCGGCAATTCTCTTGGGATTTCCAATTCTCAAACTTTTACGCCAACAATCGGGTCTTTAATTGTTTTCTTTCCAATCCGCACCCGAAAGCTTTCCATTTTTTCAAGAAAATCAAAAATGTAGAAAAAAAATTGGATGAAATAAGGGCGCCACGAAAAAAAAACGTCATTTGAGGAGCAGCAAACCAAAGATTGGAAACCTCTGTGCTAACCATATGTTAGTTATTTTAGCTAGAACCTTCTTTAATGAATAGATGATGAGGATCGCTGAAAGGCCACAAATGCGGCGATAGGCTAACTTTTCAGGGTGGCAAGGACGTGGGTCTTTATGGTGTGGAGGTTCGCAGAAAAGTAATATGTGACACTAAGAATAAGTTTTATTTAGAAAGATTTTATTTTGGACTCCATCCACTGCATAGATTTCTACAAACTTATCCCCAGGTCAGTTTCTGTAGAAAGACTTCCGTGTTATGCTGGAAATAGAATTCTCAAAAATACAAACAAATATACAGTGTGTCAATTTGAAAACTTCCCACCCTCAATATCTCCCTTCCAGTACATAATATGAAAAAATGGTCAGACAGGTCAACTTTATTTGCAAGGGGGACACTCTGAATGAATATTTTCAACCCTCGGGGTTCAA